CTCTATTATAGAATGGCAATGGTGTCTCCAAAGTGAGCCAGAGACATAGGGTTATGCCAGGGGAAGATGGGGGAGGAAATAGGGGAGCAAGAAACAATGAGTACAAGAAAGTAGAAAATATTCTGAAATTGATTGCGGTAGTGATTGCATAATTTTTTTCAATATGATTGAACTATGAAATTGAAATATGTGAATTATCTGCCAATAAAACTGTTTTTTTAAAATCCTGTCAAGAACTACTTTGAAAAACATGTGTCACCACAGTAGCTCTTGTCTTCAAAAGAGCCAGAGGTAGAATGTGAAGCTTACTTCAAATGAGAAGATTAATACATACATACTTAGGAAGATAATTTTCTTACTTATTATATCCATCTTTTTGTTGTTAATTTGTCATTCTTGATGCTTTTTGAGATTTTGTCCGAACAGTATAAAGAGGTGCAGATACTTGTAGTACCCTCCTTCTTTGCTATTAATTTCTAGGTACTCATGTCTGAGAAGTGAATAAATAATTTGATTACCGAGGGAGTACCAAAAATAGACTTTGGGGCCAGGGTATGGCACTCCATCAGACTCAACCGGAAAACACTCCTAAAGGTCAACAAACAGACCTTGAACTATTTACAGGTTTTTCTTATTTTTTTGTCGTTGGTTTTTTAATGATGTTGTTTTCATTTGTTGCTTTGTTTTGCTCTGTCTAGTTTCTGTGCATATTATTATCTCTGCAGGTCTACCTAGGTAAGATAGTCTGGATACAAAATCCGGAGGAGAAAACAACGGGACCCACACTTCTGAGGGGGACATTGGAGAGGGGGAGGTGGGGGAAAAGAAGTGGTGTTAACAAACCCAGAGACAAGGAAACAACAAGTGTTCCAAAATCAGTGGCAAGGAGGGTATAAGAGGCCTGGTAGGGATTCAGCAAGGGTAATGTAACCGAGAGGAATTACTGAAAAGGTCGCAGATGGACATTGGGCCTCCTCTCAAGTACTCCCTCAATTCAAGAACACTTTGTTCTATTAAACTGGCATTCCATGATGCTCACCTTCTTCACACAATTGCTGAAGATAAAGTGGGTGTATAAGCAAATGTGGGGAAGTAAGCTGATGATACCCAGCTACTAAAAGATATAGTATCTGGGGTCTTAAAGGCTTGAAGATAAACAAGAAGCTATTTAGCTCAGAAGTAACAAAGCCCACATGGAAGAAGCACACCAGCCTGCATGATCACAAGGTGCTGAAGGGATCAGTTATCAGGCATCAAAGAACAAACAATCATATCACTGTGTGTTCACCTTCCCGATGCAATCACAGAAGACAAATGGGTGCATAAGCAAATGTGGTGAAGAAAGCTGATGGAGCCCGGCTATCAAAAGATACAGCATCTGGGGTCTCCAAGGCTTGAAGATAAACAAGCGGTCATCTAGCTGAGAAGCAACAAAGCCCACATGAAAGAAGCACACTAGCCTGTGTGATCACAAAATATTGAAGGAATCAGGTATCAGGCATCAAAGAACAAAAAATCAAATCATTATGAATGAGGGGGAGTACAGTTTCGGGGCCCAAGACCTATCTGTGGGCAAGTGGACAGCCCCTTATAGAAGGGTCGTGGGGAGGAGATGAGCCAGTGGGTACAGTGTAGCAAAGATGAAACATACAGCAATTTCCCTCTAGTTGCTAAATGCTTCCTCCCCCAAGCCCCCAGTATCATGATCCCATTTCTACCTTACAAATCTGGCTAGACTAGAGGATATACACTGGTACAGCTAGGAACTGAAAACACACAGAATCCAGGACGGATTATCCCTTCAGGACCAGTGAGTGGTAAGAGTGTTGATACCGGGAGGGTGGGGTAGAAGGGGGAACCAATTACCAGGATTTTTATATAACCTCCTCCCTGGGGGACAGACAACAGAAAAGTGGGTGAAGGGAGACATCGGACAGTGTAAGATATGACAAAATAATAATAATTTATAAATTATCAAGGGTTCATGAGGGAG